ACATGATGTGTAGCTTTCACATTTTACCTCATGACATGGTCATGAAAGCAATGATGTGAAAACCGAATCAGATCGGACAATCCGACTGATTCAACTGTCACTCGTTAAACAAAACGGTCTGATCCAACCAATTGAACTAATTTAACATTTGGACCAAATTAACCTGAGCAGTTTTAAGAGAACTAGAGTTGACCTAGAAACCAGAGCGAGTCAACATGATTCAAGCTTAAAAAATTAAAAAAAAGAAAAAAAAACTTAAGCTTAGTCACTCAGACTGACAATTTTTTTCTTTAATCTCTATTTTTCTTCTATCTTCTTTGCTCTAATTTATAATCTCTCTTCCTCCACAGCTCATGCTTAATCTTTGAGCTCTCCTTTAGCCTCTCTGCCTTTAGTTTTAGCGATCTAACCTTTAGTATCGAAATTAAAAGCTCAAGAGTCATGATATGACGGCATGTCTCCACCTCTAGCATTTTGCTAAGAGATCATGAGCCCATATTAACATGCCTCTGCCTCCAATTCTAGCTATCTAGGCATTTAGTCTTTGGTATCGGGATGCCAAGCATTATCAATAAATTAACATTTATTTATATATTTGTGTATATAAATATTATTTTTATTTAATTTTTATGTCACCGATTCAGTTGCCGGTCTAACCTATTGAACCATGAAAATCGTGGCTCATTGCTTCTTCTGGTTCAACATCTGATCTGGCTTTTAAAACATTACACAAAAGTGTATCCCAAATTGACTTTTATAATTAAATAATTAATTAATTAATATAGATCTTTTAATTCACATAAAGTTTGAGAAATAAACGACAGGATTTATAATAAATTATGCATATTATAATAATAATTTTTATAATACTAAGCATGCGTGAGAACGAAGGCTTAGTGAAAACAATGATAATTAATAACTTGATGTTGAAGACACTTTGAGAGGTCACTTTATTATTATTATTATTATTATTATTATTTATTTTTGCCCCCCTCACTCGTGACACTCGCTTTACACTGATCACATAGATATTTGGGACTTCCTTTTTGTAAGATAGTGAGTGTCGTTTGTTAGTTAGCTAATCCCGCATCCAGTTATTTCATTTCTAGCCACAAATTAACTATATAATCATGAATCAATAACATTGATTTGATCTTCGTGATTTGACTTCCCATCCTCACATCACGTGTAAATAATATATATTAAACTCTTTACTTGAGGTGAAAGCAAGGAAACTGATCAGGGAGCAATTATTTTTATACGTACACAAATTTTTTTTTTTTCAATTGAGATCAAATCTGAAAAAAAAGAGAATAACAGAAAAATTTTCTTGAAATATAAGAATTTTCTATGAGTACCTTGAAATGACTTAATCACTGTAAAGTATCAAGAGGCTTCTCTAAGATTAAATTTTAAAAAAATATACTTGCAGATTCTTATAATTTCACTCAATTTTAAATTAAATTTTTATAATTTATTTTGTTTTAATCAAGTTCTTATAATCTCATCTATTATATAAATTGACATATAAAGATTAAAATTAATAATAAATTACTAAATTTTATAAAACAAAAATACTCTAGAATTTTGCAGAAAATTCAGTTAAATACTTTCAGCCAAAATCAAAAAAAGAAAATTTCATTTAATCCATTGTTTATTTTTTATTATACTTTTTTAATGAAAATTATATATATATCTATATATATTTAAAAAAATCTAACTATACAAATTTTGAATTATAAAAATTATGTAATTAATTCTGTAGTTATATAATCATTTAATAAAAATATAAAAATTTTTAATTTTTTTCAAAGAAAAAGTGTAAGGATTTTAACTTTAAGGGGTTAAAAAAATTAATTGGTTAAACTATAAGAACTCAATTAAAATAAAATAAATTATAAAAATTTAATTTAAAATTGAGTAAAATTGTAAGGATATGTAAATATATTTTTCCTTAAATTTGTTCATAAAATTACCTTCCTACCCCCATCCAACTCCTTCCCTTGTACCGGTTCCAACTCACTTCATGTTTCTGTGACACCGGCGGAAGTGATTTAAGCTTTTTACTCTCCGTTGGGTACGATGAAGCTTTGTTGCTTTCTCCTTCGTCTCATCACGACAACGAACCTGCAACACTACCAATAGCCTTTGAAATGCACCAACTTGAAGTGCTTCAATCATCAGAGCTTCTTCCACTTCATCTGTAGATCCATATTTGAACAACTTCCAAGCAGCAGACATGCAATAATATGTTGCCAAAGCCGAAACTCCCAAGATCTTGTTCACCCATGCAGGGAGGAGAAGGTCCAAACAGGGGATTCTCCTGGCGACATAGTCTCCTTAAAAGCCCATATTATTACGAGGACAAACGTTAACATACGTGGACGCAATGAAAACCCCAACATTGGCCACTACGAACATCGAAACCACCCATGAATTCCATTGAGTCTCTGAAAAAGCTAAAATCGCTGCGGTCACTGTTACAAGGAGAGAGAGAGCGCATGCGAGGGAGGAGAGGGAACAGGATGAGTGAGCGTGTTGGATTGAGGGTTAGTAAGGTAATTTTGTAAAAAATTTAATTCCAAAGAAGTTGCTTGTTATTCTAGAGTGATTAGGTCATTTCAAGGTATTCTTCTGGGATTCTCATATTCCACGTTAATAATAAGGGCCATCTTGCATCAATTTAAAATGTTAAAAGAAAATATTGTATTAAAAATGAGTTTAAGACCTTAGACATTTTTATACATAAAATTTAAAAGCTAATTTGTAGGTATATATCTACAAAAAAACATAATCAACACCTATCTAAAACAATCTCATCTTGCTAGCATTACAATGGCTAAAATATATAAAATTTTCATAAACTTTAATACAATTGCATAGAACTACTCATTTTCAGAGGTTTGAAATTAATTTTTTTAATTTTTATTTTTATACCATAACTTTTAGTTATTTTATTAATAAAAGTTGACATGTTTTTACTACCAAAAGGCAGGCAATATCTCATGTAAAATCCTATACAAGTTAATAATAATTTCATGATAATTTTATCTTTATTTTTTATTGTTAGTGGTGCATATTTTTATTGTTTTAAAGAATAAATTTTTATTTATATGATTCTTTCTTAAATTGTGCTAAGAATAATTAATTTTTTTTTCATGTTAGGTATTATGTATATCTCATTAATCTGATATGATAATTTCTATTAATATGATGACAGGGTTATTAATGATAGAGGACTTTGAGAATAAAAATAATATGTTAGGGAGGTTAATTATGAATGTTTAAAGGTGAGAGGAGTTATGTATAATTGTATCGAAGTTTAGAGTGATTTTGTATATTTTAGCCTAATTAAATACAAAAAAATCAGTGTAAAAAGGCCTACCTATTATTTTGTTTTAAAAAAACGAAACCCAATCATTAATTATATGTATTCTTTTGGCAAAAAAAAAAAAAACAAAGAAAGAAAGAAAAGAAAGTCATGTGTATTCTAAATGCATAATACTTGCAAATGCAAGGGATGATTTGAAAGGAAAACATACTATTTTAATATTTAATAAAATCTTAATTTATTCAAAGTATTTTATATTTTGAGATAGATAAACTCCTTAAAAAATTTCTTATAATTTGAAACAGAGATAGTATGATGTATTTTAATTTTTATATAAAAAAATAAAGATTTTTCTCTTTCAATCTAAGAATATTAAATATTAAATATCAGCACCTCTTCAAAAAAATTTGAAAATTCACTAACCAAACTCCCCTTGATATTTTTATTTTTTTTGTAGTAATTTTTATTTTACTTTTAATAAAACATTTTCGTCCAATTTGATATCAATCAGGCCCATTATTGTGATCGTTCACAAAATGATATGGCATCTTGTACCAAGTAAAGTCACTATATGTACCAAAAACATTAAAGTCACTATAACAAACAGCAGGCCCATACAATTTGGTCCACATAGAGAGCATTTTACATGTGATTCAGGGAAAAAAAAGACAGAAACCAGATCAAATCCTGCTGTCAATAAGAATTTTTTTTATTAATAGGCCATATATAAATACTTCTGTACGCATTCTTTAAATCTAAATGCATATTTTGTGGCCCACCCAACTAACCTAAACTCTGTTTTTATAGCCAAAAAAAAAAAAAAAACAGAGAGAGAGAAAATCCCTGCTCGCTTTTATATTTTGAAAAAAATTCTGCTTTTCTTACAAGCTCAATTACATCTTGAATTTTTAAACCATCGTATTTTTTTTCCCAACCTGAACCACTTGATAGAATTCACATCAAGTTTATGTATTTTTAATTTAGGTTCTAATCATTACCATTATATTTGAAAACTTTAATACACTGCCTAGTATTACTCCTACTTTTCTTAATTCTCTTTTCATCACTTGTCACTCGTTTGGCTTGCATTTCCTCCAGTAATGGGATAAACATATATCAATGTGAAATTTGATTGAGATAGATTGTTTAAAATGTAAATAATTAGGAATTTAAATTGGTACTCAGTACTTGAGCCTATACAAAACAACCTAAAAACAACTTGTTAACACAAACCTAAATATTTTAAATAGGGAAAATAATAGTTAGGTTACAAAAGAGGGAAATAATGATAGATAAATCTTCAAAAAAAATTTTAAAAAATAATTATAAATATTAATTTAAATAGTTAAAAATAAAAATTTTAGTTGTAAACAAAAAAGTAATATTCAAAACTTAAATATTTTATTTGCTAGCTATTGACACATATAAATTTATAGCTGTTTGAATTAATATGTAACACCATTTAAAAAAAATTATTAAAAATTTAACTGCTGTTAAATATGGGAATTTGGTATATATTGTGACTTGTGAGTTGTGAGGAAGGTTGACTTTGAACATTACTCAGCAATATTTAACTAAGGAACTTCTGGAAATTCCGTTGAAGAGAAATTGAAGTTCAACATTTTTATTTATAAAATAAAAGGAGCCATAAACTACGGCAACGAAATTGCATTGCAGCGTCTAGATGTTAGAATTTTCAAGCGTTGGGTCATAGATATGACTTGCAATGCAGAACCATTCAACTGCGACTTTATTCTGTTCATTTATATGAATGCAATATATATATATATATATATATATAATATAGCTGAAGCTCTTGGAAATGTAGTGTAAGAAAGAAGATAGGAGATATGAAGATGGGTTGGTATCTTCTTTTGGTGATTCTAGGGTTTGATTTGGTCCTTAATGTCTCTGGCAATCTGGAAGGTGAGTGGTAACATTTGGGTCTTACGATACTTTTTGGGGCTTTAATTATACTTCACAAACATCTGTTCCCAATGGATTGATTCTTTAAATAAGCTTCCCCTGCAGACTTTTTCTATTTGATTCTGTGTTGTTCATCTGATTACTCGCCTTTCAGCTGTATTTTTGCTAGTTAGTAAGAAACCAAACTGGGCAAACATGAACAGGCTTTCATATATGGAGTATATTTTATAATATTTCAGCTTGGGCTCTTCATCATTCAGCTTGCGTGTTTCCTTGATCATAAAGTGGCAAGTTTACTGTTGGTTTATTGTTTGGGACCAGAGGGTCTCGTTGATTCCAATTCTTTGTGAGATTATCTCTGAATGGCAATTATTTAGGAGTATATGGCTATGGCTAACCTCTAGTAAGTTGGCCTTACATGCTTCTTCTTGTAACTCTGCATATTTCCCATAACAACATTTTGACATTTGTGTGTTCAATAAACTGATGCAATGAGCCTTTTAATTATTAACGTAAGTCGAAGTATGATTGGACATTAAGGACATTTTAACCTAAAAATTGCTTTTCTCTAAGACAGGTGATGTGCTGTATGCATGGAAGACTAACTTGGTTGATCCTAACAATGTTCTCCAAAGCTGGAATGCTAGTCTTGTAAATCCTTGTACTTGGTTTCATGTTACATGTAATAGTGACAATAGTGTGACCAGAGTGTAAGTGACTTTTGTGTTAATTTTTACCTGGATTTGAGATTCTTTCTGCATGTATACTGGAAAATAATTGACTTGTGTTTTGTCATAGTGATGTTGGAGATGCAAGCCTTTCAGGTCAACTAGATCCAAAGCTTGGTCAGCTCTCAAATTTGCAGTATTTGTAAGTTAAGAACCGAATGTATCATTTAGTTAATTTGTCTCATTTTCTGATAACAAGATCTTGTTTAAGAATAATTTTTAATTGGTATTCCCCTCTGTTATCACCTGGCGGCTTCCTGAAATCTGATCTTATAAACAGTACTGCTATATTGAGCAAGCTGTCTATGAAGTATGAACTAAAGCTTAGAACTTTAGTGCATCTAATTAATTACCTGAGATTTAAGATTTTGGTAGCACCTAAACTTTCCTCTTGACAATGACTGTTTTTGATGAGGCATTCTCTATTTTTTTTGGCTCTTCCTTCTTCATCTATCCCCGTGTCTGAGTCCTGATGTCTAAATTCTTGAGTTGGTTTCTTTTGGCTATTAAAAAAAAAAAAATGATGATGATGAATTATTTAAGCACTCTGAAGAAACTACAGTTGATCAATTTGATACCAGTGCCAGCAATAATAGCTGTGGTTCTTAAGCCGATGTTATCACAAAGCTATTTTCTTACTTGTTTTAATTTTCACCACCTAGAAACATCAACTACTGATAGATTTCAAGGACTCGATCATTTAATCATGCTATGCTTTCTGATCTTCTAATTATGGTTTTTTGATTCAATACTTGTTCAAATCTAAATTTTCGTTGTTTTATACTCCAGGGAAGTTTATGGCAATGATCTAACCGGAATGATTCCGTCCACGCTTGGAAATTTGACGAACTTGGTGAGCTTGGATCTTTACTTGAATAGATTAAGTGGACCTATCCCAGACACGTTGGGCAACCTTGAGAGGCTACGTTATCTGTAAGTCATGCTTTCCTTAATCTCTCTGATCTACACATTTCATTTGCTTGTTTCTATGAATGAATCACTCATTTCTATATTTAATATATTTGTTCCACTGAGTATGCCAAACAAAAAAAATCTAGCATAAGTTAGCAACGCATTAATCATGTTTCTTGATAATTGTTGTATGTTGAATCGAGTACCATATTGAGCTCTCCTTTGTTCCACTATTAGTTTATTATCTAAAAGCACTAATTCTCTCTACTCTCTGAAACAGGCGTATCAACAATAACTTCTTGTCGGGAAGCATTCCTATGTCTTTGACTAATATTGCCTCTCTGCAAGTCCTGTGAGTGTTGCTCCAGGAGCTAGTTTTCTGTAACATAATGCAAATTTAGATAATTATTCCATCTTAAAATTTTCAAGATTGTAACATAAACCATTGTTATTGTTGAATCTAGTGATCTCTCAAGCAACAATTTAACCGGAGATATCCCAATCAATGGCTCATTTGCACTTTTCACTCCCTGGAGGTTTGTACTAATAATAATGTTTTCTTTTTTTTTTTTCTTTTAACTTTCACAGCTATTTTTGTGGGATCAAATGTAACAACTTTCCTAAGTAATTAATGTGTTCCACTTTACAGTTTTCGGAATAATCCAGGATTAAAACCACAAAAGTTCCCTCCACCTCCACCATTGTTTCAAATTGCACCAACTCCTTCAGGTTTGTGGATACTTGTTTTACTGCTACTTCTGTTATACTTCTTCCAAACTATAATATAAGATGTATTTTTAAAAGTTTTAATTGGTATAAAATATAGGAAATTGGGTAGATTTTATATATTTTTTCAATTATACTTTTACTTTATTATATTCCATTCAAATAATTTATCAGGGTGTTTTGAATAAGTCAAATATTATATTTATTCCACTTATTAAATGTACAATTGAAAAAATGTAAAAATTTTAGAAAATCAAAATTTTAACTAACTTTTTTGAGAAACATCAATTAATTAATTATGACTTATAGTGTGGTTTGGTGGGAGTATTTTGTTTTTGTTTTTTTGTTTTTTGTCTCCCAATCTTATGGTTGAAGTTTCAATTTCAAGTTATCTATAAGACTATACACCTTATCCATGTTTTTCATGCACAGTCAACGATCATATGAGAGAATATGATAGATAATCATACTCTAAAGATTTTTGCTCAACTCATATTTTCATAATGGACTCAATCAATAAATTGAGTCAATCATTTAACAGTATCACTAATAAATTGAGTCAGTTGTTAAATGTTTAGCTAACTTTTTTGTATGAAACTCATGTCTGACATTGTCTCATAAATTTTTTTAATAGACTTGATCTACTGGTTCTACTCAAGAATCCTTTTATTTTGATCTTGGTAGAAACTGAGAGATTCTTTGGAAGACATGATTAGCAAAGAAGAGATATATCTATTGAGAAAGTACTTATGAGTTTTGACATGCTAACAGGAAACTCTGTAACTGACTTGATTTGTGTGAATTATCAATTGTTCTGTTGCAGCTGGAGAACCCTCTTCTCCATAATCATCTCCAAATAATCATTATGTAGTGCTAGTTATGGAGTGGGCTTGCAAGTGATATATCTTCAATTCCATCACCATCTCCAGCATTGCCAAATTCTTGCCCTGTCTTTGCCTATTATCTATGGCTTCTGGGCTTATTTTGAATAATCTTTTTGTTTTAAGTTATGCACACGCGTGTGGGTGCATGTATTAATAAGCCGTTTTGGCATTGTTGTATATTTGTAGTCGTACCATTATGTGAGTGGTTTGTTAATTGCAATGGATTGTTCGAGATTATATATGGTTACAATTGGCTAAGTTTTCTACTTCCATTGAAAATGTATACATTTGTTCGGATCAATGTTTTAGCTTTTAAAAGTCATATTGGAGGGCAAAAAGATCAGGGAGTGACGGTTTTCATGGTTCAAAATTGGAGACATAATAATTAAATAAAAATAATATCATATATATATATATATATATATTATATGTGTGCATTAATTTTTCGCTAATGAAAATATAAAGGTGTTAAAAACACCGCAGTATCAACAAACCCACTATCCCAATGGTCATTAAACTGAACTCTTGCTCTTATACTTGGAGCAGCATATGTAAAATTTGGGATAAATTCATGTCTTATATAAGTTAAAAAGTTGGTAAAGGTGATTAAATATCCTTTTGGTGCGATAAATGGGCCCCCCTACCTGACCCTATTGTGAAGTATGCTTTCCACAACATTGATCCTATTCTCCATGTTAGAGTCCTTGATTTTTGTAACTTGGTTGGTGGTTGGAATTTGAATAATTTAAGACGTTTTCTCCACCCTGAAGTGATCAAGCATGTTGCACTCATACAACCGCCTAATCGGCATGGTGATAATGTGATATTCTCACTCCACTAAATCCAATTAACCAATACAACTCATGATAATCAAAGGATTAACTCAAATAGTGATTTTCAAGGTTTAGTTCAAAAGCAAGGGATCTCAAGTTTTCTAAATAACAATGAGTTTAAATTAATCAAAACCCTTTATATCAGAGTAAAAATAAATTTTGGAAGCATGGGATATCTCAGAGGAGTGAAAGAAGTAAAAAACGATTGAAAAACAAAACATGTGCTGTGATACAAGGCAATACACCATGGCTTATGCACATTGCGTTGCGGCTGTTGCTTTCTGTGTCATGTACCACGGCTTAGGTGCCATGCGCCGTGGTATGTTGCACAAAAATTTAACTGATTCTGCTGTTATTTGATAGCAAAATTGAAGAACTTTTGATGTGCCTCGATTCCCTGTCCAACAACCAAATGACGTGATCTAGGTGTCTACGGAAAGTCCTTTACATGAATTAGCTAATGGGATGGGTTCCACTTTCAAAACAAGTCACATTAAGAAGTTAGACACCCAAACACATTTTAACTACTTTTCATAACTTTCATACAAAATGGGAGTCTAAAATCCTCAATAAGTGCCAAAAGCTTTTCCTAACACTTAGACCATGTCCATTAGACTTAAGACTGCCAGTATAATACGTCACAAGCACTAAAACAACATTATAACAAGAATTCACTCCTTAACCCCATTTTACCAAAAATAGAGGGGGAGGCAAATTGTCATCACTTTGCATCCAATTCAATCCAAACATATTCAAATCATCATTTCTATAATTGCACTAGTATTTTGGCCTTACAAACATATATATCTCAATATACACAAATACTCAGGGCCTAAAATATAAATTTAACATTCGTAATAACAAAATAGTGCAAGTGTGATGGTATACATCCTAGAATTGGCATTTATATACTATTACACAAAATAAATCTAAGTTAGAGGTATACAGTAGTAATATGCTAATTCGTAGCCTCTTGAGCTTTCTCCCTTTCTGCACCAGAGTTAGAGCCTGAAAAGTGTTAAATGAAAGGGATGAGTCTAGCTACTTAGTAACTAAGATTAAACATATCCTATACAGTGATATATCAATTATAAACCAAGTACATGCATAAGAAACCAAGTATGTAAAACATGCTCACACATATCATAACTTGTCATTTATCATTTAATAACTTCTTTATCTCACATCTACTAGGTGCATTGTCACCATATTCTCAGACATGTGATCATAACCCATTATTCACACGACTTGTCACAACTTAACATATGTGATATGTCATATATTTACTTAGGCAATGATCAACCAACCTTATACCTTCCTTATTTCCTCAGACTGAAACCATTGGCTATAACACTGAATAGGGTTTTGTCTGTGTGATTGAACTACCCAAACTCACCAATCGTGAGGTGTAACCAGGCCAAAGATCACATAACTCACTTTCAAACCATAGCTTCCCTCATTCTCAAATCTCTGGGGTATCTCATACCCTAGGCTATTCTCCTCATTGAACTAGTGGAGATAGCTAGGTTTTAGTCCCTCGATAAACTATGTAATAGTCCCTCGACAAATTGTGGGATAAGGCTATATCCTCGTATAATGAAGGACAACCTAAATACCATATGGATTTCTCTCTTCTCCCAATCCTTAGGAGAACTCCTGCCCACTGATCATGCCATAGACAATACTCACTCTTTTCACTTTTTTCTTTACTCATTATCAATATCAACATATTGGACTCACGACTAAGGGCTACCCAAGTGTACATCAATTTCTTATCCTTCACTTATATCACATATACCTATTTTTCAATCACAATTGCTCATCTTTATCAAATTAATCAATTTACTACTCATTTACAACACATCATCACATTCATCTTTCTAAAGACATATGCATATTCATAGTTCAAAAACATTTTGATATAACATTTGCATTTCAAACCACAATAACATTATGCATATTAAATTTTCATACACTCATTGAGCTAATACATGGTTTCACATTAAAAATCAAACCCATACCTGTAACATTCACAATTCACATTTAACAATTAATTAACAATCAATTAACATATAACTACCTAAAGTAAAGTTCCCTCGGTTACCTCAAACCTTTGAGAGATCAAAGGTTTACCTCTCAATCTACTAGCTTCCAAGCTTGAATTTTTCAATAGAGCTAAACACTATAATCAATCAAGTTGAATTTCATCAACATTACCATCTCAAGTATTAAACCCTCAATCTCTACTTCTAAATTGCCTAACATTCACTCCATAAGAATTTGAGCATATCCCTAGGGTTTATTAATTGCCTTTAGTCCCTAATAACATTAATAAACCATTAAATTTCTATTAATGGCATCACAATCTTCCAACCACCTATAATAAATGAGATTTTTGGATATTAATGGTGCTCAATAACCCAAAACACCAAAAATTCATTATACTAGGTTTAAATACTTTAATATACTCCCATTAACTCCATTTAAGTCAATAAATTCAGACCCATAATTCATATAGACTGAAAATCCACTTCCACTATCAAAGCCTAACTATGAACTCATAAATGTGGAAGAAATGGAGAGATTAATGAGTGTGATACTTACCTTTGGTGTTTGTAGCTTTCAAAATACTCTTAATGTCATCCACAAGCAAACCTAGCAAAGCTTGGTGCGTCTCTTTCATTCTCTCTATTTTTCACATTAGTTCACGTATTAATTCTGTGAAATTCGCATCGCGTGTTGCGGCACTTGTCCCTACGTGCCGCGGCATGTGGTATAGAAAAGGAAATTCTCGCCTGATGGCCTCATGTGTTGCCGCATGTGGCACAGAGGCTGTTTAGCTTGTTTTTCTTCACTTTTTTAGTCCCCAAGTGGCCCAATTTCACTTTAAACCTAAATTATATCTAAAAATCTAACTAAAAACACTTATTACTTTTCTCTGACCACACCCCACATCAACTTACTTAATTATCTTTATTAATCTTAGTAATTTAGGGAATTAAAAATTAAGATGTTATAAATAATGAAGACACTCTTATTTGGAGACCTTCTTCTGATGGTAACTTCTCCATCAAATTTGCTTACAAAGCCTTGGAGGTTCGCTAAACTCAGAAACAATCTGACATCTGGTCCAAAATCTGGAAGTGGCCAACTTATGAAAAAATTAAATACTTTTTCTAAAAAGTTGCTTGGGACAATCTTCAAGTCAATTTTACTCATTTTGATGAGAATAATTATCAACAATGTGTTTGCCCTCTTAGTTGTAACTCTCCTGATTCTTTGATTCATATCTTACGGGATTGTAAGGAAGTTAAAGAGGTATGGTATAAATTAGTCAATCCTATCAAACATAACACTTTCTTTTCTTTTTCTATACAGGATTGGATAATTTGGAATGCTAAAATTGAGACTGGCAGACTATGTACAAGAAAATTGCCATGGAAGAAACTTTTTGCTTAGGCATGCTAGAACATATGGAAAGCTAGGTGCAAGAAAGTCTATTCAGAAGATGCTATCGTAGATAACGACATCACCTTCTCATGCACCCAAAAAATTATTAATGACCTAAAGCTTTAATATAAAGTAGATCTTCTGAGCAAAATCAACAACAAAAATGAAACGAGATGGAACATACCAAGTACGAGATGGGCTAAACTTGATGTTGATGGTTCTACCAACTTTAATGGTATAGCTGCTTGTGGAGGACTTATAAGAGATGATAAGGGTAATTGGATTAAGAATTTCTCCAAAAACCTTGGCTATCAACCCAAAATAGCTGCTGAACACTTAGGAATAATGGAAGGGCTGAACCTTTGCTGGAATGCTAAGCTCACCAGAGTAAATGTCTATTCAAATTTTGTAGAGGCTCTATCTCTCATTGATTGCAACTTCATTGATAGCCACCCTCTCTCAGCTATTATCACAAACATTAAGAATATCATCATGCAAGATTGAGAGATCACAAACATTGGCTATCAACCCAAAATAGCTGCTGAACACTTAGGAATAATGGAAGGGCTGAACCTTTGCTGGAATGCTAAGCTCACCAGAGTAAATGTCTATTCAAATTTTGTAGAGGCTCTATCTCTCATTGATTGCAACCTCATTGATAGCCACCCTCTCTCAGCTATTATCACAAACATTAAGAATATCATCATGCAAGATTGAGAGATCACGTTTGATCATATTTATAGAGAAGCTAATAAATGCACTAATCTTTTGACCCATAAGGCTGATGTTATGTATTTGATAGACCGCCTAATGATTGTAAGAGCTTTATAACCTTTGACTTGACTTAATTTTGGTCTATTTGCATGGTTTAAATTGTGACCTTGTATTCAAAAAAATAAAACACCACAATATGTAAACTTTATATTTGCTAGAAATTTATTTTCAAGTGGTTAGCACAAAAAATATATCAAAGTGAACAAAGGAATGCCATTTAAATGCTTTCCACCACATAACTATGCACAATCAATTACTATATTTTTTTAATATGAAGTCATCGATAAATTGTACAAGAGTAATTACGATATGTCTAAATGCATAAAATTTCAATACCAATATGGTGGATTATAAAAAAAAAATTTAATATCTATATTATCATTAGGAATCTGTTAAGTAAGCTAATCTCTATATTTATTAACTTTTCTAATTATATAGTTAAAGTGAATCAGTTGAATTCCCAATCAATCATTTTAGACCATTTGCTTTTTTCGCATTGGCAGTCACATATATATAGGCGTTAAATAGGAGTGCTCTCTCTCTCATTTATTTTCCCTCTACTTTTTCCCAACTTTTAGGCAAACATTTACTTTCTCTTTGACTATTAAAACTTCCCACGCAACCTTGCATCTTCTTTCTCATCTTTTTCAAATTTTTTACCCCCCCCCAATTTTTCACTTGTCTCTCTCTCACATTCATTTTCTACTCACTCGGTTTTCCATTCGTCATAACTTTTTCATTTAGTCATTTTCTCATCAATCATCTTCCTTTGTATGGGATGAAGGAACAGGATCAAGAATGATCTCACTTTGTTCTTCCTTCCCATATTTACTAGTTCGAACTTAAGTTTTGTGATCAACTTCTTTAATTTCGATCATTTTGTTCAAAATTTTATAACTTGATTGGTAAGTTTAATTTCTACTCTTGTTTAAATGATCACAAGCTTTACCTAGAATGACCATAATTTTAATTTCATCTTCCACTTGTCTGGTTTTCCACTACTTGCTCTAGTTTCAGGTCCAAAATTTGGTTCTAAACAGCCTAACCTGATCTTTCCACTAAAATGGGTAATGGCTTAATGCTGCAAAACAAGCCACACTCCCTACACTGGTTGATGGCTGGATCGATTTGACCATCAGGTTCAGACCTTAAAACACCACTCTTGATTTTTTAACTAGTATATTATATGTTTAGTTTTTCCTTTGGATATTATGCTTTGTTGGTCAAAATATATCTTTAGACAATGTACCATAAAATGGTTTTCTTTCACTTTCATTTTGGAACAAGTTTTTAGTTAGATGATTTCTCATACATTAGTTATTTCTTTCCAATGGTGCCTCGCCAAACATACTCTCTATTTTATATATACTGCAAATAACCATAAAATATTCTAACTTAAAATTATTTTCTAGTTTTGGAGTAAACATAAATATACTATAATGAGACATTTTGTAAGTAATCTAAGTCTGTAAGCATATTTATATAACTATTTGATATTCGCAATTCGAATGATTAATTTAAATTTGATAACATGATTATTGATTATAAGCTCAAATGGAGTTACAAGTGGTCATTTAATTAACATGGTTTCTGGATCTTTGATTTTTTTTTTCAATGGTAACTCAAGCGCTAAAAATAATAATAAAAGAATTCAACTTACAACGATTTACTGCTTTTGGAGTAAATCTTTCGACAGAAAATTTTATAAGTAATCTATGTTTAAGCCTAATTATTGTAAGACTATTATGGAAGCAAATTAGATTACAAATTTATTGAGCTTAACTTTCTTGTATAAATCATTAACCGTAAGAAAATTTGGAAAAAAAAAGATGAAGTCGAGGAAGGTTGACTCTGAGTATAATTCAGCAATGTTAGACTAATCAAAGTTCTCGAAGTTCCTCTGAAAGACAAATTCTATGTTCAACATGTTTAGAAATAAAATAATTAAAATTGAACCATAAAACGAACTTGCAGGGTCCAGGTGTTGGAATTTCAAGTGTTTTGTATATTGCGTGCAAAAACACAATAGATTCACCCTCTACAATTATATATTGATACTGTTTTTCTATAATCATTTTCTCATTGAATATTATTTGATTACAAAGATATGATTTGACTGATGAATATTCAATTGGAACTTGATTGTGTTCATTTATATGAATGTAATCTAGAAATATAACTGAAGCTCTCAGAAGTGCAGTAAAAAGAAGATATATGAAGATGGGTTTGTTTCTTCTGTTGGCGATTTTAGCATTTGATTTGGTGCTAAATGTTTCTAGCAATGCAGAAGGTGAGTGGTCACTTTTAAAAATCTCAATTACTTTAGAAATATTTGTTGCCATTGAATTGATACTTTAGATAGATTAATTACAAAATTTTTATATTACTACTTTTTCTAATTCTATTTATAAGGTAGAGAGATATGGTATTTTTCTCACTTTTAAGTTGTTATAATTTTTGTCACAAATTTTTTCTTTCAACGCCCTCAATCAAATGGTAGTGAGAGAAAATATATTATTAAAGTATGTTTATTTATTAGGTTATCCTCTTTTAAGTTGTATTGTTGTTGGGTCATGAATACTATCAAGGGTATCCTATTGCATGTTGGACTTTATGTTTCTTATTTCTGTACATATATCCCATTACAGCATGGTTGATATTTGCTTATTCCCATAAATTGATATAATTAGGTCCTGTTTGCTTCAATTCCTTAGGAGTCATAGGAATAGTCCCTCTCTTAATAACCATCATTCTTATATTAGCATATATTACGGATGTTTTCACATAAAATTTGATTTTCTATGAGACAGGTGATGCGTTGAATGCATTGAAGATCAGTTTGGCTAATCCTAACAATGTTCTCCAAAGTTGGGATCCTACCCCTGAAAATCCTTGTACTTGGTTTCATGTTACACGCAACATTAACAATAGTGTGACCCATGTGTGAGTACTTATTGTTTGTGGTTTTGACCTTCAATTTAAGATGCTTACCACACCTAGTGTAAACAATTGTGTTTTGTCAAAATGATCTTCGAAATGTAAGCCTTTTAAGTTCATTAGTTCAACAGCTTGGTCAGCTTCAAATTTGTAGTACTTATAAGTTGAGAATCAAATGCATTGTTAAGTTGATTTGCCTCATTTATCTAAAGCCAAGACTTTGCTTAAGAATTATTGTTAATTGTTATTCTCTTCTACTATTTACTCGAGGCTTCTTTAAAAATGATCTTATAAATACTACTATTATATTGGGTAGGCAGGGTATGAATTGATTTTATAATTTACTACCACAAAGCTTAAGTGCCCGTTTGGATTTTAGTTGGATATAATAGATTATAAAAATAATTGATTAAGTAGTTAATTTTAATCATAATTGATTATGTTATAATGCAATCGGTTTGGATACTATTTTTTTAAAATTAATTTTAACAGAATTGAAGATATTTGGATAATTTAATCAGAATGAATTTTTAGCTATATAAATTGCTATATAATTTAATTTTTAAATACTAAATATTAATTTTTTGAAGATACAAAGTTTAAATTTTATTAAGAAATAAAAAGGGAAAAGAAGAGAGTTTAATTTTATTTTTATTAAATTATGTGTTTTTTTTTTGTAATTTTTTTTTGAGCTTGTCTTTGTAATTTTTCCCAACATTTTTGACAAACTTTTAGCAGAAAGCAAACAGAAAGAGCTTATGGGGAAACGTGCATTTTGCCTCTTTAATCGATTTTTGCAGTTTTGTGGTGTTTGGGTAATTTTGTTCAAAAAATTGATTGTGGGCTAAAAAATTGATTTTCTCTTCTATCCAAACACACACTAAAATTTTAGGATATATAATAGGGAAAATGACATTAAGGACCATTTAAGAATATTATTTATAGTTAAGGACCTTAAAAAATGAAATTTAAAGAAAACCATTTAAGAATACTCATCTTTCATGTTTTCAATAGTCATCTTTAGCATTCTCATTACTATTTTTTTTAATTTTTTTTAGTAGTTACCTTTAATCTAAGGTAATTTTTGAATTTTTTTTTAAAAAAACTGAATATTGAAAATGCTCAAGATGAGTAATGAAAAAAATTAACTTCAAAAATTTTTAATTCCAGATAAGGACTATGGTCCTTTTTTAAAATTTTAAAATTTTAGAATCTTTAACTATAAATAATAATCTTAAATGTCACTCTCCTTGTATAATTTGCCAAGGGCCTCTTATTCTCTTAATAACAATGTCTGTTTTTGACAAAGCATTCTCTCTTCTTGTCCTCTATATTGTCCTAAAGAATAGTCAAACAAATTTATCTTCCTTATGCATCTGTCTATAGTCCTGAGTTTTGATGTTTTAACTCCTGGATTGTTTTCTTTTTGCCTTTAAAAACTAATAATGAATGATTTAAACACTCTGAACTAACTAGAGTTGATCATTTTGATACCAGTACAGCAAAAATTGCTGTGTTTCTCAGTTTCTGGAGGTCCATGTCATTCCATGATTATCTCTATATATTAACCATTATATCCACAGAATTGGATTATGAATTTAGGCTTCATAACATTTTCAATCCAGTTAGTTAATTTAGATTTCAAGCTCAGGATTCAATATTATTTGCATGATGTAATTTCTGAACTTATGGTTTTCTAACCCTAAAATATTGATTTGTATCTTACAGGGAACTTCATGACAATAATATAAGTGCAACTACTCCAAAAGAGCTTGGAAATTTGACATATTTAG